TATTATATTATACTATGTTGATTTTTATAATTCTTTCATATCCTTCTTGACATCAATTTTAAATTAAGTGTAATTTATTAAAGTTATTATATTTAGATGGCGTTTAAATCTTTTGCAATTTTTGTTACTTTCTTCATTGCGGAAAATGAAGAAAAGGTATGAAGTTTACATTTACTAAACTATAATTCTGCTGTACAACTTAAAAAGATAAAATATATCCAATTTTGGTAAAACCGAGAAAATAAAGAAAAACTATTTCTACCTAGAACTCAAGTATATAATGAAAAATTGATTAATCAAAGGTCACTTTTTGAGTAAAATTGAGGTGCTCTATCATAATTTGAAAAAAATGATTATTTGAATAATTTCTATGAAAAAATGGACAATGTGGTCGATTCATTACAACAGATGAACGTACATATGTCCATGCAATCTTTTTTGTTGTTGCTTTTTCATATAAAGTATTAAGGAAATTGCGAATCGTGTAAATTTGACAGCATTGCATTATAATTATAAGAAAATATTAATTATAGCGCCATCGATATCAAATTTGATGGGGCCCTCATAACAAAAGGATATCCCTAGGATATCCATAGGATATGGTCGATATCCTAGAATGGTCCCCAGGATATCTTGGGATATCCATAGGATATCCCTACGATATCCAAATCGCCAGTCTGTGGGACATCAACAGGACATCCATAGGATACCCCTAAGACATCCACAAAATATCTATTGGATATTATATCGCAGGATATCCATGGGATATCCTCAGGATGTCCGTGGGATATTCTTACGATATTCACGGGATATTTAATATCTCAACATATATTTTTAAAGGTTAAAATTGTTAAGCTAATATAATGAATAATAATATGATAAAAACAAAAATCTTATGAGCTTCTAATTTTGTTAAAGGTTTGGGATCTTTTACACAATTAAGAAACACACAATTTACAGTTAACTACATTTAATAAGAAAAGTATAAACCAAGCGGTACATTCAATAGAACTGTTCTGAGATAGTTATCAAAGAGAACGCCTGGTGGCGCTTAATAACAGTTGCAGGTCCGTAACACTTATCACTGACACTTCCCCTCGGACAGCAACTGAAGGTCACCCTCTGGAGAACATGTTGATTTCAAACCAAGAAGACGAGCACATCTTTCGTGCTTATTTCTTGATAACCCCATCGTCAGAATGTCCGCAGCCATATCGTCTGTCGGCACGTGCTGAATGGACACCAATTTCTTCTCGACGGCATCTCGCACAAAATGATGTCGTATATCAATGTGTTTGGTGCGAGAGTGATATACGGGATTCGCAGCAAGTCTTTCAGCACCCACATTGTCGTTTTTGAGAATGACTTCCTTTAGATTTACTCCGAAAGTTCTTAGAAGTTTTCTCATGTATATGGCTTCTTTTGTTGCTTCAGACAGAGCCATATACTCTGCCTCAGTGGATGACAGGGCAATAGTTGGTTGCTTCCTCGATTCCCAACTAACGGCGGCTCCTCCGACGAGAAAAATGTAGCCTGTATAAGATCTCCGATCTACACTGCAGCCTCCCCAGTCGGCATCGACAAACATCTGTGGAGGACAACCGGATCCTGTAAACTCCAGACCAACGTTAGATGTCACCTTCAGATAGCGAAGCACCCGTTTCGCCGCTGTCCAGTGAGTCTTTGAGTAGCAGTCATTGAACTGGCTATTTGGCATCGCCCAAATCTTTGACCTCGAATTTCGATCCGAGAAATTTTATTACTTTTTCAATTTGTTTCTGAATTGATGAGATCAGAAGAATGTCATCTACGTAAATCACTATAAAACACTCTTCTTCTTCGTTTCCGATGTGATAGATGCAGGGATCAGCAACCGAAGGTGTTGCTCCGAGGTCACGCAATTCCTTATCCAATCGCTCATGCCATGATCGCCCCGCTTGTTTCAATCCGTACAAGGCTTTGTTTAAAGAGCAAACCATGTTGTTTCCCCGAAGTTCAATCAATACCTTCTCTGCCTCTGATCTAATGGTGGGATCCAACTCGTTTTCGGTCATGTATTCTAAAACTGACTTGAGATGATCGGGAACTTTCATCAAGATTTCCTCACGAACGTTGTTATTCAGATAAGCGGTTCCGATGTCAATTTGCTTGATCTTCAATTTTCGTTCCGCAGCCACAGCAATCGCAGTACGAATGGAGCTCATTCTTGCTATCGGAGCAAAAGTGTCGTGGTAGTCGACGCCTGGCCTTTGAGAGAAGCCGCGAGCTATCACACGTGCTTTCCGTTTTTCGATTTCTCCATTTGAATCGTATTTATTGCGTAGGATGAATCTGCTGTCAATCACTCGATGTTTTTCGTCTCGTTTTATCAATGTCCAAGTCTTGTTTTTGATTAATGACTTCACTTCAGAAGCCATCGCTTCCTTCCAAGCATGTGAATCTTCCCCTGCCAAGGCTTGTCTCACCGGGATCTCGGCAATGAAGGCAAATTCCGCCAATCCTACTTCATATCTGTAGATTTTGCGCGGTCTACCACGTATTCCGGTTCTTTCAATTCGATGACGTCCAGGAAGTCGTCGTGGCAGGGCTCTTTCAGGATTTTCACCAGGATCATCACAAGGAATTTCACCAGGAACATCATCAAGAACATCACCAGGAAAGTCATCCGAAGCATCATCGGGATTGTCATCATCTTCGCCTAGTTCAACGCCTTCAAAATTTTCGAGTTCGATGTCGGCCGCAGCTTCCCCTGGATTGACGAGTACTCTAGGCCGAAGTTCTGCATTGGTTTCACGTCTGGACAATATCTCGATATCTACGTTGTGGTTTCCTTTTTCGTGATTCGCTAGTTGATCGTTCCACATGTTTTCGCCGATAAATTCCTTGAAGGGTGTTTTTGATTTCGGGAAGACTCCTTCTAGGAACCTCACATCTCTGGTAACTTCGATTTTCCTCGAATCAGGTATCCAAATCCTGAAGCCTTTTGACACTTCCGAATATCCAACAAATATTCCTTCTTTCGATCGCGCGTCAAACTTTCCTTTGGTCGGTGTTTTATCCAGGCAAAACACCTTGCAACCAAATTGCTTCAAGTACCCAACGGATGGAATCTTCTCGTGCCAGTATTCATTGGGCGTTCTTCCATCGAGTTTCTTGGTCGGAGAACGATTTCGAAGAAAATTGGCTGTGGAAATCGCCTCTGCCCAAAAAGAAGCCGGTAAACCAGAATGCAACAAGAGACATCGCGCTGCTTCTACCAACGTGCGGTTTTTCCTTTCCGCAACGCCATTTTGCTCCGGTGTGTACGTTGTAGTCAATCGTCGTCGAATACCTTGGGACCTCAGATAATTGTCAAAATCTTTATTTACGAACTTCAATCCGTTGTCGGATTGAATGGCTTTTATCTGAGTCCCATGCTGCTTTTCGATGAACGTCTTGAATTCTTTAAATTCACGTAGCGCTTCATTCTTGTGTTTAATGAATCTAATCTCCGTCCATCTCGAGTAGTCATCCGTGAAGGTAATAAAATACTGCGACCCTCCATTAGAAGTCACACGCATGGGCCCACAGAGATCTGTGTGTATGAGCTCCAACTTTTTCGTCACGTGTCGCGACTCCTTCGGAAAAGGCAATCTTGCCATCTTCCCCTGAATGCAAGTCTCACAAGTCAGACGTTCCTTTCCTTGTTCGAGGTTGATTCCACGGATGAATCCCTTTTTGACAGCACTCAGCAGATCACCGAAGTTAAGATGGCCCAACCGCTCGTGCCAAATTTTGACACAATTCGCTGACGATTTCAATTTATCGCTAATGTCGGGTGTAGCTTTCGGCTTTCCCTTTGTCAGAAACTACACTATATCCCTTGTCAGTTATTTTGGACACAGATAGTAAATTTGTGCACAATTCGGGAACATGTAAGGTATCACTTAAACTCACGTCACATTTTTTACCATTCACTAACGTAGCGATTTGAGCAATCCCTTTGGATATTATATCGGCTATCGCGTCACTTGCCAATTTTAGTTTACCCACTTCAGTGTTTTTAATTTTTGTAAACAAATTTTTATCTCCACAGATGTGGGAGGTACACCCACTATCAAGGCACCACGAGTCTTCAAGATTATTGTTCGCAGCTTGACACTGATTTTGTTTCATCTCGGCTGCAAGAAGAGACACGAACGAAGATTTGTCTGTCGCCTTTTGGGTTTTACACTCAGAGGCTTTATGTCCTCTCCGATGACACTTAAAGCACTTGATCATACGCGATTTGTTTTGGTTATTGTCTTCTTTGTCACGTTCACCTCTATTAAAACTGAGCTTTTTATCACTCGCGAATTTCTTCTTGGCATACATCGCATCCTGGACCGAACTCGTGGTAGCTTTCCTTGCCTCATGCTCTTCAATGATTTTCGAGCGTGGATTGTCAGGTGTTGGAAGCTCGTCCCGACTCTCAATCGCGATTCTGAAGTTCTCAAAACTTGAGGGGAGACTGTATAACATCATTATCGCTAACTGGTCCGGATTTATGTTGACATCCATGTCAGCCAGTTTATCGACCGAATCGAAGAAATTGTTCAGATGTTCACGAACGTCATAACCTTCCTCCATCTTCTGCAGAGTAAGCTTTTTCAATAAAGTCGCCTTACGCGCAGGGCCTTTTGATTGGAACGTATTTTCCAGGGTGAGCCATAGATCACGGAAAGTCTCACAGTTTTTCACTATTTTGAGTTGACTCGCACTTATGGATAAGATTAGATCCGATTTCGCTTTTTCGTCATTAGTATTCCATTCTCGAATGGCATTCGCGTTGCCTTCGACGGGTTCGGGTTTGACAATAGTTCCACCGACATAACCCCAAGCATCGTTTTTTACAAGTAACGCGCGTACCTGCATTTTCCAGGTATCGTAGTTATCGCGTCCGAGTGTTTCAATTCGCACAGTACCGCTCATGTTGACCTTTTAATGTCCAAACGAATAAAAAATTTACTCGACAATAAAATATGTATATGGCAAGTACACAGTATCACATGAGCAAAAGCAAAATTAAAGAACACGAGATGTCAACAACTAGACGTTTTGGGTTCGAGGTTAAATTCTCGAGAAAGTCCGAATACACACGACAATTTGCGAATGTACGATGACTTCGCGTCTGCGCTTATAGATACACGGAAAATATGTCCGACCACAAAAAAAAACGACGCCAACAAGTCATTCACTTTATTTTCGATTAAAACGAAAAGTATCTGATGTTTCCGATTCTAGGATAATCCTCACGTTTCACGAGCACGACTACAACCACTCTCTTGAAAACCGATCAACACTAGAACTAGGACTCGTACGATCAATGTACGATCAATTAATCCGTAAACGTGTATATCAGCAATTTTTATCGATCGCATCACACGCGGGCATATAACTCTTCGATATCCGCGTTTGCCGACTAAAATTTTTGTCTAACGTCCTGGGCCCATAACCTGTTAAAGGTTTGGGATCTTTTACACAATTAAGAAACACACGATTTACAGTTAACTACATTTAATAAGAAAAGTATAAACCAAGCGGTACATTCAATAGAACTGTTCTGAGATAGTTATCGAAGAGAACGCCTGGTGGCGCTTAATAACAGTTGCAGGGCCGTAACACTTATCACTAACAAATTTATTTTAAATACAGATTTGAAACGCATTTTTCAAAGTTTTTAAATAAACTCATGCACTTAATGTATAATTAATATTAATAGTTATTCGTTATTTACGGGGAAGAATTTAATGGTTTAAAGCCAATTTATTTTCTGACAATATTAAGTATATGAATAGAGGAATGAATCAGGAATGAGAAAATTTAGTTAATAATTTTTCAAATTAAACAACTTACTCGAAAAACAAGTTGCATTTTATTTTATTTATATAAAATTTAATTCACAGAATATTCTCACTCGTAGTCTCATAATGACTTTAAAAACAGTATCCTGAGAATATCTTCTTAACATCCAGAAGATATACTGAGAATATCTTGAAAATATCTGTGGGATATCCTGACGATATCTATGGGATATCTGGAGGACATTTATGAAAATCTACAGAGATATCCAGAAGATATCCTGTGGATATCCTCAGATATCCATGGGATATCCAGAGGATATCCAAACCGCCGATTTTTTGGATATCCTTAAGAGATCCTTTTGATATCCATAGGACATCCCTAGGATATCTGCGGGATATTATCAATATATCCCAAGATATCTTGTGTTATTAGGGGGTAAATATGTTATTAGAAATACAAGGTTTTATAAATTATTTTTGTTTTTAAATTTTTTACAATATACTGTTTGTCTGAAAAAAAAAATTACGACCATCGAGAATTGGTGCACCATTGGTAACTGGTACACTTAACCTAGTTAGAGATAGCTTTTTTCACGAATTCAACGATACCAAAAAATCACATTTCAATAAAAATGTGACTTATGTTTCTTTTAAAGTTGTACGACAAAATTAGATTTATTCATTTTGTCATTTCCTTATTAAAACATAATTTATAATGTACTCAATTAAAGTATTATGTTTACTTTATGTAGGCCGAGATTGCATATTGTTTATTATCGAAAGCGAAGCCAAATGAGAATGTATTTCAGTTTCTGAAAAATGAGGAGAGATTCCAGGAATTGAAATACATTTTAGGACCTATTGACCAGGACGTAATAGTCCCTTGTAAGAAGGTGTTTGATGTGGATTATTCCACATCATATTACCATGTGAGACAGGTGCGCAAAAATGAACAAAAAATTTAATACGTTTTATACAACTATTATTAAATATATATGTGACCTAGACAGTTAAAAGGGACCGTATGTCCGAAAAAATCGATTTTCACTCGATTCTTATAGAAAAAGATGTGCTCTTTTCAATGCAACAAACCGAGCATCTCCAGCTTCATTAGTCTTTTTTACAAATACGCTTCAAAGATGGACACAAATGGTTAAAAAAATCGTAAAAAATTGAAATAGAAAATAGTTGAATAAAAAATGATCAAATTAGTTTAAAACTTTTTATTCAGGGGTTTATGAGGTCGTTGATTACCAATCTGGCATTAGATTTTCAAAATAAATCAAACAAATGCAACATTTGAAATCTGATAGCAAATTTGTAATCATCATAAAAAGTTTCAAGCAAACCCAACTAATTTTGCTTCCTCGTGGAGGAAGCTATGTAGTCCTTTCGTTTATAAAATTTTTAAAAATGGTGAAAACAAATTTTCCTCTATATAGAAACATGTTATATGAGATCCTGATCAATTGTCCGGATGTATGTATGTGTGTGTATATGTGTGTGTATGTGTGTGTATGTGTGTGTGGATAGTTTTTGTGAACACGATATCTTTAACAGGTTTTAATGGATTTGGGTAAAATTTGGTAGGCTTATTTAACACATTAATCTCTCAAAAATGACGAGAGGATTTTTAAAAATACCCCAAAAAAAAATTTTATCGTCTTTTTTCCAAAAATTTTTTTTTAATTGAAAAAATTTTTAAATCGAAAAATTTAAGGTAATATATTATATAATCGTCTTCTTTATGTCAAGATGAATCGATTGATATATATAAAGTATAGATTTGATTGAAATTTAAAGAATTAATGAAAGTTAAAAAATCAAAAATTCTCATTTTAGCTAAAAAATGATGTGTTTATTTAAATTCATGTTTATATATGAAATAATTTTATTCCCTGCATTGAAACGAATCGATTCGTATATATAAAGTTTATGTTACACTCAAAATTAATTAAAATTTTCTTTATTTTTCAAAAAATTTAATTAATTTAAAACATTTAACTCGAAATTTTTTAAATCAATCAATTGAATTGGACAAATTCATTGCTTCCTTCACGAGGAAGCGAATTTTTTGCTTCACAGAATGAGGAAGCATAATGTTTATGAAATAAACATAAAGGACCCCCTCCTTGTTTATTTTTGTCATTTGCCATTTTGAATTATCAAAATCTAATGGTAGATTTGTAATAAACGAATTTTTTGGTATTTTAAATTAAACTTCGTGCTAAAAAGTTTTTAGAGTTTCTTATTCCCAAACTGAAGTCCTTCTTCTAAAATTCAAAATGGCGGATCCAAAATGGTGAACGAATTTTTAAAAATAGATTGAAATCGTTTGAAAGTCGTTACTCGTGGATTTTTGGGGTCGCTAAATACGAATCTGATGTCCTTTTTACAAAATTTAAAATGGAGGATCCAAAATGATAAACGAATTTTTAAAAATAGATTTAAATCGTTTGAAAGTCGTTACTGGGGGGTTTTTGGGGTCGCTGATTACGAATCTGATGTCCTTTTTCCAAAATTCAAAATGGCGGATCCAATATGGTAGACGAATTTTTAGGAATTGATCGAAATCGCCTGAAAGTCGTTACTCAAGGGTTTTTGGTGCCGCTGATTACGAATCTGATGTCCTTCTTACAAAATTCAAAATGGCGGATTTAATATGGAGGAGGAACTTTCAAGAATTGATCGAAATCGCTTAAAAGTCGTTACACGGTGGTTTTCGGGGTCACAGATTATGAATCTGAAGTTACTTTTATTTAATTAACGCATCACTTGGAATATTGCCAAAGTTAAAATTATTTAAAAAAAGAAAGTTAATTAAATATAAGTTACGTCGAAATAAAAAACAGTGTCTCCGCAAATATCCGACTAACGACTTTCAATCAATTTCCATCATTTCTTGAAAGTTCGTCCACCATGTTGGATCCGCCATTTTGAATTTTGGAAAAATAACATCAGATTCGTAATCAGCGACCCCAAAAACCCCCATAAGCATTTTTGTTTTTTAAATTAGTGTTGTAATGTAATGTATTCCTCAAAGGGTTAACTGTCCAAGTCACATATATTTATTTTAATTGTATACCCCTTAGGGGTCTTTAAAATTTTTCTTACAACTCTATTTAATTCTTTAAACTCACAAACTTTTTAAAATTGCCTTTAAGTTGTCTAAGTTCTAAGTTTTAAAGATGTCTTGATCCCCACTGGGAAGAATCCAGCTAAAAATATACTTTAACATTGTATTAAATTGCATATCTATTGAAAACTTATAATATAAAAAAAAATTTCTTAGATTTTTAAAGAAAGTTGGCTGCGCCATGATCTGCATAGTAACGAAGAGGCGGACAACAATCTCTTATGCAAGGCACTTACTTTGCCACTTTTTCCTGCTGACAAAATTATGGAGGCCGCAAGTTCCATTAATTCCGAACCGAACCAGGAAATCCAAAATCGTTTCGTCTATGACGTGATGTCTTTCGCAACTAATTTCCCAAGACTAATCACGATCATAGACAGGAATTTAGTGCGAACTAGCAATGTTTCCCAAAACATCGAGAAACAATATGATTTTATGAAAAAATGCAAAACTCCTAGCGACCTCTTAGGTAAAATAATTTTTTTAACATACATACTCGAAATCTCGCTATTTTGTACGAGCGGAACGGAAAAAAAAAATTTTAACACAGTCTGGTGTATGTAGTTTAAAAGCCCTATTCTTTTAAGGTAATTTGCAAAGATTTTTAAAGAATATTTATTTCATTAAGAGATATTAAAGTTTTTAATCTGGGGTTCTGACTATGTACGTATCTTACATTTTTCGGGTTGATGAATCCAAATCCGGTGTTAATTATACACAATCAGACCAGAGTTTTGACATAACCTGAAAAAAGCAATCTAGCAAACACCACTTTGAAAAATTCAACGGATTTGTTTAATTCTCATTACATGGTCGTCTTTTGGGTGGCTAATTATGTATTTGTAGTCAGGTTTATAAAAATTAAAAATGGCCTATTCATTATGGCCGACACTTTTTTGAAAAATTAATCGGATTCGCTTAAAACTGGTTATTTATGGGTGTTTGGGGTCGTCTGTTACAAACTTGATGTCAGTTTTTGAAAATCAAAAATACGAGGATTAAATATGGTGCACCCAATATATTTCTTTCAAAGAACATATTTATTGAATCAAACATTTTAAATTCTTGAAAACTGACCTCAGAGTTGTAATTAGCAATTAATTTTTCGAAAAGCTGTTCGCTATATTTGTTTTTTAAAGTTATGTAAAAACCCTAATCTCTTGGCGTAAAATAGACCGCACTATTGCCAACAAAATATTTTTCTCAATGTACTTCTTATAATTGCAGATTGTTTCAAAAATTTTAAATCAAAATTAAATGGAGTATCTAAAAAATCAGAATTAACGCCAACAATGCGGAAAACAATATCTCGACAATTAAGCGATCCACAAAAGTAATTCAACTTATTGTTATACTATCAAAACGAATAACTTTCTTTAAGAACCTTTTCTCTAATTTTTAAACG